GGAAGCAATTCATTATAATAAGTATTCGTTTGTGTACACAAAGCATGTCAAACTCAAAGACTAACATGGGCCAAATAAAAAAGGTTTACATTTATGTGGGCCACAAAAAAAACAAAAACTTCAGTCTTCCTAGAAACGTAGGTTTATTTAGAAAAGTACAATATAAAAAAAGTTATATTTAATGTACTGCCTATTTCCCTCCCCCAATTTAATGCACTGATCGCCCTCCCACCACTCTAATACACTGCCTCCTTCCTCCTCCAAATAATATACTGCCCGCTCCCTCCCCCAAATTAATATACTGCCCCCTCCCCCCATTTAATACACTGCACCTTTGACCCCAATTCAACACAGTACACATAAAGGCTTCCAAGCCCCTCTTTCCCGACCTTAAGATGAGCTGCCCATTCTCCAGTTCCAGCCCTGCCCTTTTTTGCTCAAGCAGGCCAGACACTCTTCTGGCACTGCGAGCAGGAGGGAAGGGAGAGTGGCTGGCCTTTTTGGCACACCACCAGCCACTCTGCACGCTGGAGCACTGCCATTGTCGTGCAGCCAGCGGATATGACTTCAAATGCTGTATGAGCATATCTGGCAGTCAGCGTGGACTAATGCTTAGCGCTCTTGCTTCCACCAGAACATGCAATCGGTCATGACAGGGCAATCAGGAAAAATCTGGTCACAGCCACAGCACAAAGCAGCCACAGGGCAGACAGGCCTCAAATATATTTATTGTGGGCCGCATGTTTGACATGCTTGGTTTACACCCTGGGTGCATTTTGGGTATTGTTTTGGATGTTTATTAAGACAATTTTTTTTAATGAAGAGTTCTGGTTCATGCAGTTTACATGGTGTTAAAGTAATTACTCACTGGGAACGCTTTTATGTTTTAGTTGTTTCATGGTGGCACAATTATGGCACTGCGACAACCGGAGGCTTTTCTGTGTCTTATATATTGTGCACTATTAGGGAGGACATTAGTCCTGAGAAGGGCCAGTGGAGGTCTGAAATTTTAACATGCCTTGTTGTAAAACGGAATAAAGTATAAGCTTTGTTTATTGCAACGAAAAGACTTGTTACTCCCCATATTCATTCCGGTTTATGATATATAGAAAAGCTTACATTTGTGATGTAGGATAATTCAATACTATACATTTTTGTGTACTTTTTCAGTTTTAAGTACAATTTTACTACTTACCATTAGGTGGCATAACTTTAAAATGAGAAGAACAATTTATTGAAGTAGCTCTCTAGTTCCCTTTGTATCTGTATGTGTGCATTTCTGTTTCTCACTTTTGATATCTCTGCATCTTTAATGCACCATCTTAAATTTTGGGAAGTATCAATACTGAAAATGATCTCTGTAGAAAGGTTAACAGAAACTGGATCCTAAGCAATGATATTCTAAGAGATTTGTGCAAAAGCTGGCCACAGTATTCTAGAAAGATATTGATTTAGTTTACATTATATATGCTCCCATTTAGAAAAAGAAAACAAAAATTCAAGGCAACAAATCACCTCCAAAGTTCAATGGCAAGTGTTCTGTGAAATGTGCATGTTGCACGCTGTGAGATAAGACAGATACCAAAAGCACCAATCACATAATATCTGCAATTTCATAAAAACACGGCAGTGTCCACTCAGTCACCTAATATGTGTTATTCCTTAGAACACATAAAGTTGACTGAGCAATACACTGTAAGTGCTTTAGTATTGGAATATGTTCAAGAAGAAATACAGATGGAAACTAAACCAAGTATGTAGTGGGAGGAGAGAGAGAAGGTTGGGCTGTTGCTTTACATTTTTTTTTGTCTACACCAACTAAACCTTTAGGGCTCATTAGCCATATAATACAGACACTGTCTTGCATTTCATACTGAAACATCCATAATTTCTACTTTCTCATATGCAAAATTATAAACCATGAAGCTAGCCAGTCATCTTATCTTGTGTGTGTTGAGTCTGAGTTCAGGTACAGTGGCAAAGTGGCATTAACTGTTTGTTCATCATTGTTTCTTGAAAGTCAGATAAAGAGACTCAAAGCATTTAAACATTCAAAGTATTTTTTTTACATTGTATAGTGATAACTGGTCTTTGAGGTTTTCTATATCTTTGTGTATTCCTTTCTAAGTCCCTTTTTATGTTTCTGCTCTAAAATTGTGAATCTCTAAATCCATTTTACAAGTGACCATTTTCTTTTTCAGGAGTTGTTGTTGCTGAAGATTCCATTCGGTCAAAACATTCGGAGTTGCCAGGGGAAGAAGGAGAGACTATTACTTTTA